AAAAAATAAAAAATAAGCTGACCATAAAAAATGCACTGGCTGACAGTTTTAGACCTTAAGCCCCATGTTTATGTGTCATGCATCATAATTATAGCTGCTGTCATCTATTTTTACTTCAGTCGAATATGAACTTTTTTATTTGGCGGCAGGGTCGCACGCTTTTTATAAAGTGATATCGAATATATTAAATGCAAATAAAATGTATATATATGAATAACTTATAGCTCGTGCCGTTTGATGAGCTGATTTTGGCATTTTGTTAAGAAACATTTACTTTACTTGAGAGTTTGATGTTCAACATTGAAAGCTTTTAAAAATGTATTATAACGAATTTCAGATTTTATCAGCAAACTAGTTTTGAAATCGATCCGATCAATTTATATTGAATATATTTATATTGGTTTTCGGGGAGTGGTTATAAATTTGTAAATGACAAGATGTTTAACCAAATCAAGAAAGTTATTAGTCAGTGTTTAGGCTTTTTAAATTTGAATATTTATAAGGTAATGTAATTTTATAAAAATAGCAGATGGATTTTATTTAATCATATAAATTTGTTGATTTCTTTTTTCCGGATGAGGTAGTGAATTAGCTCTAAAAGCGTCTCCTAAGAAAACACGAGGCAGCTATTGAATTGCAGTTTTGCTGGTGTTTGGGCAATCCAACCATATTGAGCTTCCGCCTCGTGTCACAACCGATAAAATTCGCTTTTATTAGTACACTCCCACGAGAAGTAACTACGTGCGAAATGCTCAAAACAATGCCATGCGACAACGCCCACAGCAAACAACACCCACAAAACCAAGAAACCAGATCCGTGTTCAGAGTTAAAGGATGAAAAGGTTTGGGATGGTAAGCCCACAGAGCCCCCACTCGAAAAGTCAAAGATATCAACTATCATATCGCCAGTACTATTCCCAGAAGGAATCATCAATCCGTACGTGCCAAGTGGATCCGGCCACACAGGCATCTTGTTTTTATCAAGGGGATGGGATAGAAAAAAACTGGGTCGGTCTATAGACTTATAAGATAAGTGCCAACGCACTGACCGATATGTTTGGGGTTCCAGAGGCAATAGGGTGGGCTTGAAAACTACCCTAAGGCACTCATAAAATATTTAAAAGTAAGTTGTTCTTAGCAAACCCACTGCTAAAAATAGGTAAATGAGAGAGAGATAGATTTAACAAAGTTATTTATACCTTTATTACATTTAGTTCAATTTATCATCTCAAAACGAAATATGTTGTAAACCAATAAATATTAAAATAGCAATCTAAGACAGCAAAGATTATAAATGATGGTTTATAAAATGGGTGTGCAAAATATTTGTAAGCAAACCTAGAAAAATTTGTAATTTTAAAGCACCATCTCGCTTTAAATTCACTAATAAGTATTACAAAATTGTATGATAAACAATAGTGACTCACCCTAGTCAGCCTTGCGGATTTTTCAGTGTTTTTCACTTGTTTGGACTCATTAAAGATACTCGACATCCCCTCAATTTCCCCTCCTAATTGCAACATGTGCGCCTGGCTGGGCAGGCTCCTAATTAATAGAGTGTTATGCAAAGCAATCAGTGGGGTTAAGTGGTTGGCGTTCCGGCGATTTTGCAGCTCATGAATTCCATTCCATTTTTCCACCACAAATTGATGGCCGCGGAAAGTAGGCAATGGTATATCACGGCTTAATTGCTTCGGCACGCCCACCTCATATGGGGGGGGGGGGGGAGCTGGTATATATAATAGGACTGCCTATATAGGGCTTAGGGAATCTGGCACATCGTCCATTTGAATTGCTAACATGGCTCATACATATAAATGAAATTGAGAGTTTATTGCATGGTCACTGGGATCGCTTTGGCTTCATTTCGCCAGCCAGCCAGCCAGCCATCGCCTCTTTGCACCGAATTGCTTATTTATCCCATATTTATGCGTTATGACGGTCGCAGGCGCACACTGCGTATGCGTGATATGAACAAAGGCGCATCGGGGAATTTAAAATGGTAGTGCTCGGCTCAGAGAAAGGCTTTTAGGCTGCCCCGTAAATTGAATGCTCCAATTGCTTTCAGTCTACTATCCATCGAGACAAGTGATAGTAAATTTGCACAAAATGAAACCCACTCAAATTTATTGTGCGGTTGTGCCAAAGTAATGGTTATCTACGAGTTTATTTTTGTTATTCTACCATGTGTGTGTTCTTGGGCTATTTTTGTTGTGCGCATAAAAATGATGAAGTTCATCGAAACTATTTGACAGCCTTTGACTTTTATGTCGCATAAATGTTGGTCGCCCATTGATGGAAAAGGGTCCCGACCCAGACAAACAGACGCAGAAAGTCGTTTCGGTCGCCGGCCATAAAAAGTGGAGCGCCTGGGCGTGTGTTACGGATTAGCATCTTGTATCTGGCATTAAGGAGTTGTCAATATTGTCTAAATACCAAGAATAGAACATAAGGCAAGTTTGCTGTCAATCAGTTTAGAAGATATGTGTGTTATTAATAAAGTGATCATAACTAAATATTTAAGGTACCTTCTAAAATAAAGAAACTTTTAATAAAAATATTCTTTGTCTATTGACAGCTACAATTAAAACAGAGAATAAAGTTTTTAGTATTCTGAAAAAGAAATCTATAGCGTTTTACGCTCTTAAGGGTTCAGCAGATTTTGCTATGGTAACCAAGATTTTAATTGATGCAATTTAAACACGATATTTTCCATGTTCTCCAGTCATTTCAATGATTTTTTTCAGAGAATGTTTTAGACTTTAAATTACGCATTTCTCTGGCAAGGCTTTCGGCAAAAATTTCAGATTTTAGAAGCACTCCCAGGGAATGTAGCCAATTTGTGGCTAAAATCCCTGGACCTAAGCCCCCAACTAACGATGTGTTGTTGCATAAGCTTTTCGGTCGTTGTAATATTTTGCCAGCTAATTGTGAAGTAACACCCAACTTGTGCTTACCTAAGTGCAACCAAAAATGAACATTAATTCTAAAACTTTTGTGCAAATGAAGTAAAGTTTTTGCGGTTTCATTTATTCATGGTGGCCACATCTTGGCAACATATGCTGCACTTTATGAATTAAAAGCCATTTATTTCTGGCTGCATACACGACAAGTCTGGTCTGCACGCTTGACAAATTGCATTCGCTGAAATTAAAACTAAATTCTCTGGGACACTTAGTTATGGCATGGTAATTAGTCACAAACTCACAAACAGAAGCACACACACTCAGCAGTTTTCCCGCGAATGTTGGCCAATTCGCGACTTTGGATTTCATCCATCGTCTAGACTTCAGACCGAAAAGCGAATTTGTGCGCTAGATAAGGATCTTAATGGCCCGGGATTATGATGCAGTGCGATTTCGTCTATGCCCTCTTTTTACTGACAGTCATTAGCCAGTCGCTCGTTGAACCCTCGTCTGGATAATCCCCGACTTGATCCACATTCTTTGTAAAATGAAATATGCGGGGAGTATCAAATAAATATCTTCTGTCTACTGCGTTCTATTCACTGAGAAAAATGTAATTAAAGGAAATAAATTAATGATAAATGCGTTTTCTAGGGGTTTTTCAAAATAGTAGTTTATACAAATCAAGGGATTACATCATCTTTTTTTGCGAAAAATGGCCAAAATTAAACATTTTTCAGGTTAGAATGCAATGAATGAATGATTGGAAATTAAACAACGGGCTCAAACGGGGTATGACATTCCTCATTCTGACTTATATTTTTGTTATGGCAGCCAAAAAACTGAATTTTTATGGCGAAAACATTTTTGTCAAAAATACAGAATTCAGATTTTGGTCAAAAATTCGACATTTTTTTTCGGTTTTTCCATCGTAGTTCAGCCAAATCAAGGCGTACAGCTAAAAAAAACGATTGTTTTGAACAGCTTGCTAAATATGCTAACGATCCTCATCACTTTTAGGAAAATTTATTTTTTGACCAATTTTCTCAATTTTTGTAGGGGTTACATCACTTTTTTTCGAAAAATGGCAAAAATTAAACATTTTCAGGTTAGAATGCTAATCGATTGGAAATTAAACAACGAGTTCAACGAGGTATGACATTCCTCATTCTGACTTATATTTTTGTTATGGCAGTCAAAAAACTGCATTTTTATGGCGAAAAAAGGGTTAACATTTTTTTCAAAAATACAAAATTCAGATTTTTATCCAAAATTCGACATTTTATTTCGGTTTTTCCATCGTAGTTCAGCCAAATCAAGGCGTACAGCTAAAAAACCGACTGTTTTGAAAAGCTTGCTAAATATGCTAACGATCCTCATCACTTTTTGAAAAATTTATTTTTTGACCAATTTTCTCATTTTTTGTAGGGGTTACATCATTTTTTTTTTCGAAAAATGGCAAAAATTAAACATTTTCAGGTTAGAATGCCAATCGATTATAAATTAAACAACGAGCTCAACGGGGTATGACATTCCTCATTCTGACTTACATTTTTGTTATGGCAGCCCAAAAACTGAATTTTTATGGCGAAAAAAGGGGTTAAAATTTTTCTCACAAATACAAAGTTCAGATTTCTTCCAAAAATTCGACATTTTATTTCGGTTTTTCCATCGTAGTTCAGCCAAATCAAGGCGTACAGCTAAAAAACCGACTGTTTTGAACAGCCTGCTAAATATGCTAACGATCCTCATCAGTTTTAGAAAAATTTATTTTTTGACCAATTTTCGCATTTTTTGTAGGGGTTACATCATTTTTTTTTGAAAAACGGCAAAAATTAAACATTTTCAGGTTTGAATGCCAATCGATTATAAATTAAACAACGAGCTCAACGGGGTATGACATTCCTCATTCTGTCGTTTATTTACATTATGCCGGACAAAACACTGCCTTTTTTAGTGAAAAAGGGATTAAATCAAAATAATTTTTTTTGCGGTTTTTCATTATTCATAAGGAATTCCATTTAGTTTTGCAAAATGAATAAAAACTCACTGCACTTTTATAACACCACAATTCACCAATAAAACACCATTGCACCTTTTGAACAGAGAATGAACTACATAGTTTATTGCGGTTCAACGCGATTCGATTACAAGTACGATACTATAACTAGAATTCAAACTATAGCTTTGGGCTATACTATTAGTGGCCAGGACAACTATATAGTTTAATTGACCCCAGCGTGGAATATATTTGTCTAAAGTAAACACAAACAAGCTGGAGAGGCGCTTGCTGCTCATATCACAGTTGTGTGTGTGTAATGTCTGTGGGTGGCACTGGAATGGACTCCGGAGATGGCTTTCTCCTCCAAAGAAAGGGGGGTAGGGAATGGGGTAAGCTGGGACCCCTTTAAAAAGCCGATCCCCGCTCCCCGGCATCGTCAACTGCCCCCGTGGCCTCCTTAACCTGCGGTTTGTGGCTGCCTTTGCGTCTGGCACGCCAATTGAATTTGGCCCTGAGACCCTTGAGAGCGCTTGAGCTCTTGAGCGCTTTCACTTTCGCCTTGCGCACTTTGCCACTCGACTCGTCACCACCCACGCCCCCTGCCACGCCCCCCGCCCCCACTGGGGCCAGTGGGCGGGTGATGCGCGTCAGTTTGAGGCGTGACCGGGAGATGGCCAAGTCATCTGTGAGCTCATCAATGGAGCACATGGTGGGCTGTCGCTGCAGTGGCTCCCCTGGAAACTGCAAATCCTCCTCGAGCAGTGAGTGGGCATCGCCCACCGATGACAGCTGGGATATTTGCGTCTGGAGAGTACGGCGTGGGTTATCGAAGAGGTCCTGCCGACTGCGATTCTGACCCTGCAGCTGGCTGCTGTCCAAGGACTCGCGGTTCAGCCGCACCGCCGGACCTGTTGCCGCCCCACTGCCATTGCCACAGCCATTCAGCCCCGTTGTGGTCGTCGTCGTGGAGGTCATGGTGGTCCTAACGCTGTCCTGTTGGAGGAAATCAAGAAGTCGGGGTAATCAGAAGGAGGTTTAGTATAATATTTAAGATGAACAGTAAGACTTCCATAACCAAAACTTCCTTAACTCAATATGTCTTAACTTTCAAATAGTGAACTAATATCTTATAACATGGATTTTATGATTCGGTGCTCTATAATAATAATAATAATAATAATAATAATAATAATAATAATAATAATAATAATAATAATAATAATAATAATAATAATAATAATAATAATAATAATAATAATAATAATAATAATAATAATAATAATAATAATAATAATAATAATAATAATAATAATAATAATAATAATAATAATAATAATAATAATAATAATAATAATAATAATAATAATAATAATAATAATAATATAATAATAATAATAATAATAATAATAATAATAATAATAATAATAATAATAATAATAATAATAATAATAATAATAATAATAATAATAATAATAATAATATAATAATAATAATAATAATAAAATAATAATAATAATAATAATAATAATAATAATAATAATAATAATAATAATAGTGTTTCGAGTTATGAAAGTTTGTCTGAGATTAATAAGACGTATATCACAAGCTCTGCTAGTTTCATTCACAGTTTTTAACTACCAAAAAACTAATAAGCTCACTATCGAAGTAAACTTAAATTGTAGTACATTTCAGCACTTTGGTATTTATAGAATCCTCATCAATAAATACCTTTTGATTTAACATAATATCAGTTTGTAAAATTCAATTTCATCTATAATTGTTTTTGAAAAAAAATATTATTGGTATTATGGTAGGTAGTTTGGTTAAGATTAGATATACTTTAGCATTTGAATTTAAATGTAAACACTTGTATTGCTATGTATAGTTTTTTCTCAGTGTACTCACCGTTGTGTGAAGTCGCAAGGAACCCGTCTGATTACGCCTCAAAGCGCTGTAAGTGTGGGGCAGCCCTCTTCCTTGGTTTTTGCCACCCAGTCCAAATTGCCTAGCCAAGGTTACCTGAAATGGTTTTAATGGTGTTATAAAATCGCTTAAGGAAGATGAAAAGACTCCCTAAGATTGTAGGTTTTTTATAAAGGCTAGCAAAAAATGAAAATTTTAAGAAACTATTTTTAAAGTATAACTATACATATCTCTCTAAAAAGAGAAACCCATCTTTATCTTTAAAAATATTTAAAATTCAATTTAAAAGTGTAGATTTTCATCTGCATCCGAATCTGCATACTTAAAATCGATTTCTTGAGACCATAACTTTAATGAAAGCTATAAAAACTAATTTCCGGGGTCTGGCTCACCTTAAAAGCCTCTCGAAACTTGTGGCTCATGATGTTGTAGAGCAGCGGGTTGATGCAGGTGGAGAGGAAGTAGAGGACGCCGGACGTATAGTCGAGGATGCTGAACACGTCGTTGAACCACTGGGACTCGATGCCCGAGGTGGAGCCATAGACGGCCATCAGGCGTTGGGCGTGGAAGGGGGCCCAGCAGATGAAGAATGCCACGGCCACTGCCACTGGAAAATGGGGGGGAGGGTTATGATGCAACCATGAGTTATATCGGATATTTCATATCCTGCTTACCCAGCATCCGGATGACTCGGGTCTGGGCGCTTATCCCCCGGTTCACATCGTAACATCGCCTGGGAAGCGCCTGCAGGAGCCTGCTCCTCTTTAGCTTCACCCCGATGAGGACGTACAGCACGCAGATGGCCGTCATGGGTCCGCCGAAGAACAGGAAGCCCGACACAGCAAACACATGGGCAAAGAAGTCGTTTTTCATCTGCAGCAGACATATCGCACAAAAAAATATACATTTTACCAGGCGAAGCGATATGGTTTTGGCTCCCAGCCACAGCCGCAGGGCCAAGGCTGTAAATTTGATTACCCTGAATTGAGTCAACCATCGTAAAAGATTGCCACTGATTGATCATGTGGTGGTTGCAAATTCATAAAAGTCAGGTTTCGCGGGGGAAACTCGTAAGAATATTTCAAAAGCTTGAATGCATAACTTTTCAAATGAACCCACATTTATTTAAGTCTTCCCAAAAGGTTTTATCTTCTTTGAAAAATGTTACCTAGGCTAATAAAACGTTTATCGAATTACTAAGGGTTGTTTTCTCAACCGCATTTTATATTCAAAGTGGGTTTTAAACCTAGAAAACCTTCCTTTAACCCTATAAATCTGAAAGACTTCTACAATACAACAAGCTGGGAACTAAAAATAGAAATCAGACCAATTTAATTTATTAAATTTGTATGCAGTAGCTGTACACCTTCGTTCAAAAGGCTTTTAATAGAATTTTTCGGTCAACAGGAAATGCCCTGAGGTGTCGATGACCCTCCTCAATAACTCAATTAACCTGGTAGCTCTTAGGAACTGGGAAACGATTAAAGACCTCCCATCAATCATACGCACCGTGCAGGAGGATCCCATGCCCTGCATCACCACCGAGAATTGGATGGCTTGGGGAAGGGCCAGCAAAAGGGCGGCTATCCAGATGGCAAATATGAACTTCACGGCCCGTGACAACTTGGACATCGTGTGCTGCCTGTATCAAAAGCAGAACCAATTAGGAAAGTTTCGGGGAAAAATTGAAATGGGCAGTGGGATTGGAATTGGGTGGAGAGGTTCATTCCTCACCTGAACGGATGACAAATGGCAATGTATCGCTCAACGGTGAAGGCGGTAATGGTCAGCACGGTCGCATTGGCCGCTGTTTCCGACAGAACGCTTTCCAATATGCAGATGCTGTCGCTGAAGGGATAATTGTCCGGGTGCCAAAGGTTATACAGGTCCTGGGGCATTCCTGATGGAGGAGGAGAAAAATACTTATAATAACACATGAATAATTCAACGAAAATGTGCAGGTATATATTTGCAAAGCTTATTTACTTGGCGCAATGTTTACATTTCAAAAGCGAAATATTTTGATATACAAATTTGACTAAACAAACAAGAAAAAGCAATAGTATTTTCAAAATGTAATAAATATATAGGAAACTTTGATTATTCATACACTGCAATAATTTAAATAGAATTAAATATTTTACCCGCTAATCTAGGTATTATAAATATATATGAACTCTTTAAGGAAGCGTAATAAGGTTCAAAATCATCATCTATTTATAGATACACCCGACTTTCTTGTTTAAATCGAAAGCATTAACATAATTTAGAAATTTACATTTAATATATAATATTTTATATCTTTTGGATATTTGCTTTATTGAACCGATTAACTTGTTCTATAAAAATTATAAAATAGTATTTATAACTCACCGGAGCAAAGCAAGATCATGTCGGATATGGCCAGGTTAAACAGGTAGAAATTGGTGGCCGTGTGCATGAAGTTGTTCCGCGATATGACGATGCAGGTGATGAGGTTGCCCAGCACCCCCGCTATAAAGATGAGGGCATAGCCCACGCTGAGGGTGGCCAGCAGGGAGAGCGGGGTCATCGGGGTCGCCGTGGGCAGCAGCTCCTCGGGTTCGAGACCCTGCAGCAGGCTGGTTAAATTGTCCGCCGAGATGTTCAGCACTTGGGTCAGATTCAAAAGGAATTTCTCATTGTGAAACAGTTGCAGATCGGTTGCCAGGAGACCGGAACTGTTGCTGGGCAGCATTTTCACTGCCATGGGTGTGTGTCAGCTTGGTGAGGTGTATGTTGTATGGTGTACGGTGTGCTGTTTTCTTTAGCGTCCTCTAGTGTGTGCGCTCTATTAATATCGAATTTCTTCGGGAATCTCAGATCCCTGCTTATGTATTTTCAATCGATGCTCTCGCTCTCAAATAATATTTTCATAACGCCCCTTGTGGGGGCTCATCAATTTCGACTTAGGCCAGTACCACTCCTCTTACAATCTGTTGTCATGGGTGTGGGATTAAATGTTGTGTACGGATGTGTGCAATGGGGTGGACCTACAGATCCTCCGATAAGACCTCTATCATAAATAAATTCTTTTAAAATTAAAAGAGCTACCCTTAGACCAACAAATAACTATTAGTTATTATCTACTTTTAAAAGAATTTAAAAAATGTTTAAATGTTATTGATATATAAAATATATGGTTACCTTTTTGACAATGATAATGCTTAAGTTATCAGCTTTTTTAGATATTAAAAGATCAACTTTTATATACAATTGGTTCAGTTTGGAAGCAGTAAAATTTTTACATTCAAGGTCTTTCTCCAATTTAATAGTATTACATAAATGATATTAGTTCACCTGTTGCCACTAACATTTTTTAAAAGTACTGCTATTTCAGGCTCAGACCACTTCGGTAACTTTAAGTTACATATAAATGTCTAAGGAAAAGAAAACGCCTAAAAGCTTAATTCAAATCAACCTATCAAAACACTCACTTATAAAATGCAAAACCACATGTCATATAAAGTTATTCAAAAATTGTTAACTAAATGGTTTGCTCTACTAAATTTACATAAATTATTTGCGCCATTGGGTCTGTTCAAAAAAACAATAAAGTTGTAAGCTTTTTCACTTGCTAAGGTCCACCCCACAGAGGACGTGTCTTAAAGTGTGTTTGTGTCCTATTTACCTGGCATCCTGCGAAGGCGTTTAACTGGCAGGCAGTCAGGTGTCCTGAGAAGGAAATACCCGGCTCAGGAAGAGTGGAAGCTGAAAATTAATTTGAATTGCTAAGTGGCGTTTAGTCAAAATATTTGTGTACACGAGATGAACTTAAGGATGTTGCTACAGGACTTAGGAGACGACTCAAAGACCCCTTCGAACACCTGGTGGCAAACAAATTAAACGCGCTGCGAAACTCAAGGTCAGGTGGTGGGGAAGTTAAAGTTCCCAATGGACACCGGGTGTCTTAATAATATTAACAGAGTTTTGTTCCATTCAAATGATTAGTGTTTTTTGCTTTTGGCCGTTGTTATTCCCATTGTGGTGGTCATATTTCGTTACTGTGGCCATGCTAACCGCCCCTTTGACCATTTTTGTATGTTTTCATTATCATTATCATAAAAAAAGTTTCTACAATATATGCACGGCCAAAAGAATGCTGTCGAATTTGGTTTTATTATATTGTATATTCAATCAAACTGGTTTTCATTTTTTCATTTTCTGTTTTCGTTTCGGCGACCGATGTCTGATGTCTGATATCTGATGTTCAATGATGATCGACCATGTAGCATCCCACCGAAAATTATGCACCCGCCATGTCCATAAAGTGTGAGTTGTGGATTTGGTTTATTATTATTTTTCATATTTGCGCGATTTTGTTTTGCATATATTATTATAGATTCTGCACCATTAGTGTTTCGGGTCAATGGATTTCACTGAGATCTTGAGTTCCCGATAAGGCCTTATTTATTTCGCAACTTGTTTACAACTGTTTCATCGCTCCTGTTTCGGGGCTTTTCATTCCACCTAATGACCATTAATTATATTTTTCGCTGGCTATCGTTTGTGCATTTAAAACACGTTTAATTTAAATTTTTCAAACGATGCCTGCCACATTTTTCGGAATGCATTTATTTTTTATGACTTTGAACTGTTTTGATTTTGTCACTTTGAGAGCATTGCACTTTGTACACCTCTTAACCCACCCCTTCTTTCACTCACTTTCTCTGAGGTTTCTTGTTTTATTTTTCTGATAATCAGTTTTTACCATGTGCTAAATGTTGATTAATGAACACGAGAAGTTGGGGTTAAACTAACACGCACACTCACAATTAATGGCTTTAACTATTTGCGTATGGCACTGATTAATTCTGGCACGTAGAATGATTCTCGGAACCGAAAAATTATGACTGATGGTTTTCCCGTTTTCTCGTTTTTGTACGTCTTTGAAAAACCATAAAGATCCCAAAATATCAAGAGCGACGGCGGCGGCTACAGCAACGGGCCGCAGCATCCGACTGACTGGGTTTTTGGCCAAAAAATCTTGGCTACAAAGCCCGTTCGGGCCATGGTCGTTAACAGCGACGCAACAGAGGCGCCGGCGGCACAGTCGACGTCGCCAGCGGACAACTACCGGTTGCTTTTCGTCATTTTTCGGCTCTCTGCGACGGCGCTTTGGGGTCTCCGGTCTTATGTGAAGGGTCCCCCGGCAAAAGGGTAATCAAAATGCAAATAGTACTGGAGTACCATGCAGTTTATCTTATTTAGTGGCCTTTTAATTTGGCCAGGGCGGCAAATTGTTTGATTATTATGTTAACAGAGCCAAAGGACAATGCAAATGGCGACCTTGCCGCCCACTTAACCCTCTGCTTAACCCGCAACCCCAATCAATTTATGTCAAGGCAGCCCGCGAAAGGTGAAGTGGTCACTCAAAGAACAAAAGCGGATATTTATAAAAATCGAGCTAGTTTCCGGAGTCAAATGTGTTAGTTTTATGGCGAGGTCACAAATAATATAACTTAATTAATATTAAGAGTTCCTACAATATATAAGTATAGAAACTCAATATTAAGGTTAAAATTTAAGTAATATAGATGAATAATATTATAATAATAATAATATTGGAAAACAATAATGAAAATAATTATCTGCTTATTTCTATGTTTACAAAATATAAGTTCTGAAATTTTTAAAAAAATATGAAGAATATTAAACGTTTCTCAAAATATTGTAAAAAATCGTTTCTTTGTCACCATAGTACAAGTTGCATTCTGTCTTATGCACTTTTCTATATATGTATGCAATTTTCCAGGAAGACCTTTCTATAGCATGTAACCCACATGGCTTATTGCCCTTTAGCCTGTCGTATTCATTCCTGAGGCACTACCTCGAGGACAACTAAATTGCTTAAAATTAATTTGTGAAAGCACTTTGTACGCCGTTGAGTCCCAGCCATCAAGCCACGGAATTGGACATGATGCCGTGGTTTTATGATCAGTCAAAGGGAGATTTTATGAGGCCCCGGGGGCCAAACTTTTATGGCCATGTGCGGGGCAAATCTATCAGAGCTTTGCGGCTCATAAAATGTGAATTTTCCTATCCCGGCGACTAGTGCGATATTAAGGGCAAACAACTGTGGCAGTATCTATGGAATACTATCTATTTGCAAGCGATGTGTACGAGGCGCTAAGCAAATCGAATTGTTGGGCACACAAATCAAATCCATTGCATGCATTCAATTTCTCAATTTTTATGCAAATAATACGAAACAATTTTTTGGCACTTAATCAAAACAAAGTCCTAAGCAAACAGTGGGTTTTTCGGGAGGGAGTTAGGGTGATAGGGATAGAAACGAGGGTCTTCTTTGTCAGGGACCCTTCTCCATTTCCCCTTCTAATCTCTTCAACGAGTATCTCATGGATTCAAAGACAGAGCAAATACGCAGCACGTGCTGCAAAGACATTCCCAGTCAAAACTTTGGCTGCCAATTGTTGACGAAAACGAAAGCCGGGAAAAAAAGTGGCCAAGGAAAATGGGAAATTGGGGTAGATTTTCGTTTTGCCTTGCTCCTTATGAGCACTGAGCATGACATCAGATCTTTTGAGTCGGGCTCTTGTTTGGCATTTTGAAGTTTTCCCGTCGCCTTTCGTAGGACTCTGTCATCAGGCGACGGCGGCATCCTCGTCAGCAGTTTAGTTGAATTTTTGTGCAAGTTTCCAATTCATTTAGTTTTATTGCACCCGGAGAGGGCAGGCTAAAAGTAATTTGCAGTTCGACCAACCCGTTGCCGCTCACTGCTTTCCCTAACTTTCACCTAAGTACAGGCCACATTATATTTGAGTTGGGGTTTATACAAATAAAATATGAATGCCGTCTGGCAGAACAAGATAGTAAATGTGGACCCGAAACTTGAAATATTTTAAATTAACTCTTTTGGTTCTTGAAGCATCTTAAACTGGTCCTTCAAAAAATGTATGTGCCAAATAAAAAATTTTTGCTTATAAAAATATTTATAGAATTTAACATAATGCTGACTTTACTTTATACAAAAATATAAAGTGTGTATCATGAATGACAATAAGTTTTTGGATGATTTGTTTCATGTTTTCAACACAAACATATGATAATTTTTGATGATAAATATTTGGTTATTTATTTACACAAAATGTGGCTTACTGCCACATAGAAAAACACAAAAGCCATTCTTTTATTTGTATTTAAGGCTCTGTGACTTTATGATTTTATTCATGCTGACCAAATGGTGGTAAAATCACTCAATGCGCTGGTTAAATTTGTGGTTTAAGTTGTCATTCGATGATTTCATAAATTGTATTTTAGCTTGTTAATTATATGGCAAATCGAAATATATCTTAAGGTTTTGGTATCTTTAAAAACTAAGCACCCTTAAGGGTATTAAAATTTCGCTGCTTGGCTTTAGCTACATCAATTTATTGAACCCTGGCACGCGTTCAACAAGTCGTTGACAAAATTTCCGAGCCCGTGGCTAATTGTGGCCTTCGATTGGCCAAATGGAGTCGAACTTCCACATGCACCAAAGAGCCTTTCAAATAATTGAATTCCCCACCAAAAAAAAAAAAGAAGAGGTGTGCGTGTTGGTCGGGGTTCATTTGGTTAAAAGCCCGGCAATTGCCCTCATCGACATGCCATTGCTGGCCAAGATGCCCAATTTCCAACATGAAAGTAGCGCACTTCCCATAAACTTGGGCCAACGGGTTGTATGAGTAATGCCAGTAGTTGAGCTAAAAGCGTGGGCTTAAGAGTATCAACTATAAGTATTTATAGTATATATAGTAATAGTATGTTAAGGGATACTTGCCTCTGGGGTGACAGTTCAATGCTCGGGTTCCTTGGGAAGGCAAAAGGCCAAGGACTCGCGCATTTAGTTTAATTGCACTAATTAGCCACATCTAAAATAACATGACGCATTTAAAAGTGCACGGTCCTCTTTCGGCATCGTTCATCAACTCAAGACGAACTAATCAGTGTTTGTGGCCAGAACATTATCATTTGCGTTTCCACCCAAAACCCATTACAGTCGTAAATCAAGACCAGATCCAGAGATCCCGAGAACTTGGACCAACTGCTGTGCCCCCAAAGTTGCGGTCGACCCTTTTCGATTAGGATCTGGCAAATCCTTTGTCTCTCCCCCTGTCGGTGGTCCACATGTGTGTCAAAAGGCATTATGCTAATCAGCATGATGCCACCGGCCAATTGAATCATTCCGAGTCACAGAGTTACAGAAATACACTAGCCAGCGGGACTACATGGCGTATACGCAACGCACAAAAGGTCAGTGGGCGAAGCACTATATTGATTGTCCTCACGCTTTCATTATTTACTCGCCAGCTCATGAATAATCCAGGGAATCGACTTACAGATTTCGGACAGTGATTATGTGGGGCAGCATTAATTTAACGCGCGTTTAATCGCATTTACGCCGGAACAAAATGTGTGGGATGGTGTAATCTGAGTGGGATGTGATTGGTACACGGCAAGAAATTACCAACTAAGTTTAATTTCGACGTTGAAAATAATGTTCTGTTTGATAAGCAAACTACAAAATACAAGTATAAAATATTAGAACTATCAATCCACCTTTAACTAGAGGTAGAAAAAGAATTACCAGTACAAACCGCATTTCAGGTTGGCTCCTTATGATCTAAACAACTTATTTTTGCCAAGAACCATTATAAGACCAACAGGTAACCAATAAAAAAACACAATTTTTTAAAAAGAAATTTTATTTTAAGCCAATTGTTTCTGCATATCAATTTTTTAAGCTTCTTTGACAAACCTTTTTTACTGCCATTGATCTTCTCTTTTTTGGGTTTGCTCTTTTTTGAAGAGATAAGTATTGTATGTATCTTCTAAGATTAAAGTCAAAGTCAGAGATGGGGAGAAACGCAATTCGTGCGGCTTAATTTACACTGTGGCCGCTCGTGTAAGAAGAAATACATCATAAAATCGTTCATCCCGCCCGCAGGCATTTCCCTAATATCTAAAGGCTCTTAAGCGGGCCCCGAAACCCAGATTGTGGTCACGCTCCAGCAACTGTGCATATTTACCGCGACCAGACAACCATGCCAAATTGGACTGAAAATTCTTCAGCGGGAAATCCTTACCTACTCCACCGACACCATAAATATCCTTAAGACCAGAACAACAAGAGCTGGTCCAATTGAATGCGAGAGGCCCCAGGCAATCCAAAACCGAGGAGGATAATGAAAACAAATCCACAAATCTGCGGACGAGAACCGACATTAATATGCGGTTTTGCCTTCTGAAAGGTCAGGGAAAGGAGAAAATCAGGGCGGTCTCATGTCCTGCAAAACAAACTCATTTATTCGCATACTTTATGATGTACAAACGGCTTTGATTTCCCCTTCATTTTCCTTGTTCTCTGAGGTCAGAGAGTGAAAACAATCGAAAGGCGGGCGGGCCTACGACAATAAATATTAAAACTAAGTGCCAGTGCTTTTAGGCCATTTGCAATTTCAATTAGCCGCGCGCACAACTTGCCAGTCAATTGGATCGAGTGCCGCTTATGGGCACGCTCTATAAAACCAGCTGCCTGCGACATTACTCATCCGACAAGTAAGCCATAACTTAGGGGTAGAAGGCGAAGGAGCCACGTTCAAGGTGAAGTGCATGAATTTATGAATGAAATTAAGACCAAATGTTTGCGTTCCTCAGACGAGCAGAGAGTGGTAGACAAAAACACGGAGAGCCAAAGGGCCAAGAACCGCTGTTAGTTAACATTTGGCTAACAGAAACCGTCTACAACCGACTTGATGGCCGCAAGGCAACTCAGTCTGTCACCGACTTTCCTTCGCTTCGGACGTGTGCGGGCCCAAAAAAATATAAACCTTGGCTAAAATAAATCCATTAATATGATGGTTAAATAAAAAATATATTAAAGTAGTGCTAGCAAAGGGGAAAAAATAAAAAATATATTTTTTTCAAAAAAAAGTGTTTTAATGATTTAAAATATATATATCTCCAGTTTAATCAGAGTTATTCCTAAACTCCCAAGCAATTTACAACTCATTAAATATTTCCCAATGGTTGCCTAGCAAAGTGCAAAACTAATTTTCCGTTCAGTGATTCCGTTTTACCGAAACCAAAAGGGTTTCAAACAAAAACCCACGCGGAAGTCCTTAAACGACCCACTGCAATCCCAAAAAAAAGGAGATAAGATAGAAAAACAAATACGGATACGACTTGACTACAAAGAAGGACACAATACGCGCAGCAAAGGTAAATAAACTTTTGTAATTTAATCTAGCCTTGCTAAAAATCAACATGTCGTTGGCAATTTACACAGGACTTGTTTTCAGAAGTTAGAAAAAATCAATTTTCAGTTTTCCTAAATTGCTTACCTTTGGCAAACGCAAAGTTTAATTAGAAAGTGTTAAGGTACCTGGGCAATGCAACTAGAGTGCGGTTTAAACTTGTTCTCCAACTGAAATTGAATTTCAAACCCTAATATGGTCCGCATGGCTTTGACCTGGCTGATTGGATTGTGTAATTGCCACTGAAGTCGCACATTTGTACACAGAATCGAAATCAGCCGGTGACTCCCAGCTCTTGCCCTGTGCCCAATCATATCTAAATCAACTTTCACACCTCAGCTGGCAATTCAATTATTTTTCCAATTAGTTTGCGTCAATAAGATGTCGTCATCTCAAGACTGAACCCTCGAGATTCGTGGACCCTGTAGCATACTTTCTGGGGCTTTTTAAACGTCTTGAGCAAAAAAAAGAACTCTTAACGAACAGGAAACATAATTATTTAGACGTATCAGCCAAGAGTCTGGCTTCTAGCCAATAAGCCCACTTGGCATTAACGGTGACTCGGTGTTCTTTGCCACACTTGGCCTTTGACTTCTAACCCCAGAATTTGATTTTTGGCAGCAGGGGGAAACCCATTTCCGAACGTGTTGGCAGCATAATGAGTGAAATATTACCCCTCATGGTGTCTTTAAAATCCGGCATGTGTTGGGATCCCAAATGGCCACCTAAATGACAGACGGGTGTGAAAAAGTTTCCCTTTTTCCCACACATGCAATCATGTTTCGTTTCACTAAGTATGGCAAAAACCAAGCAAATAGAAAAACTTTTTCATCAACATCTGTATTTGTATTGATTGCCAGCAATCTGTATTGCCAGAGCTTAAGATGTTTACTAATAATAGAGCCAAGTGCCAAGTGACATATTTTATACAGTGAAAAAATAATTCAATTGCTTGTATTTAATTGTAATTGTATTTAAAATGTCTTTATTCTTTAAATACAATCTGTGTGTCTCTCAGTTTGATGGCAATTAAGTATCTTGAATGTGTTGTTGAAATATATTTTTAAATTAAATAAAAATAATCCCTAGTTGCAAACAGACAAATTATTAATTTATCAATGTTATAAACTTTCTTTGATGTTAGAGTAGTTTTCCACTTAAAGTAACCATTTTAAAAATGTTTGACCCCACTAAAACTACTTTTGACAGGAAGCAGGTCAAAATAAAATCCATAAAGCCCTAATTAAAGTATAGTACAAACTATTTACAATTTTTCAAAATGGACCACGAACCATCTTTTACTGGAAATCAAAAATTATATATTTTCCGATAGATAAAAGATAAAATATTTAAGTTGAAATCGAATTTCGCTGATGTAACACTCAATTAAAGACTTAAGATTATAATTCCTTTAAGAAATTTATATTTAATATTTTTAAAATGCAATCATAATGAATAATTTCAATATGATGGCCAAAAAGACATAAGACACTGTGTGTAGAAGCAAGACTACTTAGGACCTCTTTAGTTGTCATTTTTTCTGTGCACAACTAGAGGGCCACATGTTTACCATCAACAGAGCCAAGAGGCGACTGACAAGTGGCAATAGACAAGTGCTTTTATTTCTGGATTAATACGAAGTTTCCTTGTAGAGCCTTTGGGCCACCTGATGCCGTTGTTAACAAAAAAAGTGACGTCAGCCTGGCTGGGGATTCAATTTAAATTCATCCTTGAGTCTAATGACTTTTAATGTTGTTTGCTTCACAGGCGGCTGAACAATTTTAGGGCCTGTCGTCGACTGCTTATCGGCCATGTGCCACAAAGGATGCGGCAGCGGATACGCCAGACAGTATTAATAACGCATTGATACGAGTGGGCGGCCGATTTGGTATTGTTTTTCCAATCGAACTCGTGGCGCAAGGAGTCCGCAATTAATCGACGACAGCTAGCATGTTGCAAGGCGTCGCCATCGACATTACCATCGCCAACGACAGCAACGATGATGGCCTCAATCAATCATTCATGGCTCATGTGTCGCCCAGTACCAATCAGATCCCCACCATCGCCACCACCATGCCCACCAGTCCCAGCGAGAGCCCCGAGCTGCTGCTGCTGAAGAATGACAAATTCCTAACACATGTCGCCCATCTGCTGAACATAACGACCGAGAATCTTTCCAATCTCCTGGGCTCCACGAATGGCACCAATGCGAGTGGCACCATGGTATCGGATTCGCCGATGGACGAGTCCCTGACCCTGCGTACCGCCTTCACAGTCTGCTATGCCCTCATTTTTGTGGCCGGCGTGCTAGGTAATCTAATCACCTGCATTGTCATTTCGCGGAATAACTTCATGCACACGGCCACCAACTTCTATCTGTTCAACCTGGCTGTCTCCGATCTGATATTGTTGGTCTCAGGTAAGTTGGTTTTTCCAGGAACCATCGGGGCGTATGCGTAATGTCACCGAATATCCTTTAGGCATCCCCCAGGAGCTGTATAACCTTTGGTATCCGGATATGTATCCTTTCACGGACGCCATGTGCATCATGGGCAGTGTGCTCTCCGAAATGGCCGCCAATGCCACGGTTCTCACCATCACAGCCTTCACTGTAGAGCGATATATTGCCATCTGTCATCCCTTTCGGTGAGTTTTAAATAGTTACTACCTTTATATTTGCTAAATTCTCATTAAAAATGTATCTTTTACATTACAACTAGTGTTTTCTCAGTGTTACTAGTTCGCTTTCATTAGCAAAGTGGAGCACGCATAAATAGGACACACCATAAATAGATAAATAAATTTGATAAGCGTCAGTCAAACACAATAAAATGTTCCACACAAATACAATACAAATTATAGGGACTATAATAATTCATAATTAAACAGTCAGGTTGAGGGATGATAAAATAAGTCAGGCTTGACAACAAAATTCAGAACGTGTTCATTTATCCAGCGAGTCCATTATCTTTTATTTATTGACACTAATTAATAGTTAGCCACACAAATGTAGGTACGGAGTGCATTAAAATCCATGGAATTAGATAGCTATGAAAAGATTTTACACATAGAATATAATTTAGTCATTAAAATAAATAGTAGGTACCTACGTTTACATTGAATTCCCTTTGGTTCTTTAAACTTAGCAATAATATTATTCAATTTACATAAAAATACAAATGCTTCCTTAAATGAATGTGTCTGGATTCCATTCATAATTTTCGTGTATTGTGTTCCAGCGAAAACCATATTAAATTTCCTTTCTTGAAAAGGAACAAAAGAATTTGAATGGAGAAGGCCCTCTATTATAAGCACAATTTGTGTTTCCCACTTACTTTTTACTTTTTTAAATTTGCGAATAAACGAATAACCAGACATAAAAGGGTGGGATGGCTAAAAGATGGCATTCCAAACCCGATTATAAAGTTTAGGCCAAAAGTTCTTCTTTCAATCAAGATGGGTTTAAATATTATTGTTGAAAAAGAACGATATTTCTGTGTTTGTTATTTTTTTTAGTGGGTACTTTGAAAAAACCTGAGGGTTTTGCCCATTTACGAGCTTAGCAACACAAAGGGATTAAATCTGAATCTTATGCAATGCGCCTCAAAGTTTTTTTGCCCCCATTTCCTTTTTGTTTTTAATGAGGGTTGTTTCTATTTTAAGCACAAAGATAAATTAAACAAAAATATAATCTCCTTTCTATAAAACTAGGACAAGTCGCCTTTCCAAGAAATTCCTAAAACTTGTATTTTATTTACATCCTGATACAATCTGGCATCGATTGTATCTCACCACTTGAACATATATCTATAAAAAGGTTAAATACTTCAGAGCGCTGCTCTCAAGTTTCAAAAGGAAGCTAAAAGTTAGGGCTAAAAATATATTCCTTCCTGTTTACACCCACACTTAAAGTAAATATTTATATTATAATCAGGCTGATGGTCAGAGTTTGAGTTTAACTGCCATCATATATTTCATCCCATATCCGCCCACGTTGTAGGGAAAACATTTACATCAACTTCCCCATAATACTTAACATATAATGCAGCCTAATCTTTCCGTCATTTTGTAGGCAGCACACCATGTCAAAATTGTCGCGGGCCATTAAATTTATATTCGCCATTTGGCTGGCTGCCTTCCTTTTGGCCCTGCCCCAGGCCATGCAGTTCTCGGTGGTGTACCAAAACGAGGGCTACTCCTGCACGGTGGGTAGAACCGACTTTAAAGACGAGTAGAGTCCAGAATGAGTGTACTATTCCGCTTTTATCCCCCAGATGGAGAACGACTTTTATGCCCATGTGTTCGCCGTCTCCGGATTTATCTTCTTTGGTGGACCCATGACAGCGATTTGTGTGCTCTACGTGCTCATTGGTGTGAAGTTGAAGAGGAGTCGCCTGCTGCAATCGCTGCCGCGGAGAACCTATGATGCGAATAGGGGCCTCAATGCCCAGGGACGAGTCATCAGAATGTTGGGTAGGTGAGTTGAGTTGGCGGCTTGATTGATTAAAGACAGCAACAAGCCCCCTCCCCCCATTCGGAAACCAACGTCCCTGTCTGTCAAAAACTTTTTTGCCGAAAGTCTTAAATTGAAAAATACTGTCAACATATTTGCGTTGGCGACACATCAAACAGGGGATTCCCCCATCCCCTTTCCTTTGCACTTGCGTCATCTGGGTTGAATGTGCCCCGGTTCCTATTTGTTTTCACTTTCTGCGGTGTCGTTAATTTTTCCCCACCGTCGGTGTATGTGAAAAGCTCTTAAATGGCCATCTAGCGAAAGAAGCAAAGGTGAAGCCAGGTGGCACCTCAAAAGTAATCAAGTCGGGGCTTTTAAATGCGCTGATGATTGCGGGGTACATACAGCAAACTGGAATTTTCGAACGATGTGTTGCTGGGGCTAGGATGTATTTAATATCATTAAAAGATTGTTTCCTTCTTTTTGCCATTAGAAAAATTATCCGTTTGTTTTTAACACATGACTCTTGAAGATAGCAAAAATATTTGTATCTTAAAGTATTTGAAATTGCTTTTTTAAATTGATTTAAAGGTTTTAAGCGCTTATATTATAAAAACATTTTTTTTTACTTTATAACTTAACGAACTTGATGATGATACTACATTCATCAGTTTTCTTACTTTGTACTTAAATATTTAAATCATATTTGTCGTATATTCTTAAATATATTCTTAAATTTTGTTTGTGTTGAGTTTTTCATGAGTAGGTCAAGGCAAGTTTTAAAATTCAAAGAACAAATTTCCTTCTCAGGCTAGAAAATAGCCCAAAATTTACGGTTGCTTTTAACTGGAAATCCACAGCTCATTGATTCTGTAGTTTACCACTGCCCTCGCCCAAATAAAAATTGATGGGCCAATTCAGATTAAGCCTTGGGCCTTAATAATAAATTAATTTGGTTTAAGGGAGGGCAAAAAAACAACAAATGGCTGCACTTTCGTTCTCGCTATCCGGTTAGAAAAAGATTTCCATTTTGGCAACAGGTAAAACCCATATTTCTATTCAAGGGCCTGGCATTCAAACTCGAGTGTTCGGTTGCCCAAACTATTCGATTACGGGGGATATAAGAGATGAAGTCCAATTTGTATCTGTAACCTACTTCTCCAGGGGTATTTAATACGCTCTTTATCTTGCCCGTATTTGCAGTAGCTGTAGCCGTCGCCTTCTTCCTCTGCTGGGCTCCCTTCCACGCCCAACGACTGATGGCCGTCTACGGACTGAACCTGATTAATATAGGCATCAGCCGGGATGCCTTCAACGACTACTTCCGGATACTTGATTACACGTCCGGTGTGCTCTACTTCCTCTCCACCTGCATCAACCCACTGCTGTACAACATTATGAGTCACAAGTTCCGCGAGGCTTTTAAGGTAGGACTGGGATTGAACCCTTTCTTTAACATTAATTTTTAAACAATGGGGCCTGTCCATTAATTCCTCAGGATATTTTAAACCCTTTAAGCTAATTTATAATCCTAAATATTAATAAACAAATAACAAGGACTATTCCCTCATGTCTTAAAACCTTAAAACACTTAAAAGAATTTTTAAAAAAATTTTTAAGTTAAAAATAAACCGTTGATAGTTTTAAATTTGCTTTGAAACAAGGACATATTTTTAACTAGTTATAGTTTTCTAACAATACAATTAATATACATAAATAAACATTTTAAATTTAATATTTATTGCTATTTAATTTTTTAATGAACTGAAATACATTTTTTTTTATTTTTCCATAGATTACTCTCACAAGGCAGTTTGGCCTGGCCAGGAACCACCACCACCAGCAAAGTCAGCACCACCAGCACAACTACAGTGCTTTGCTAAGGCAAAATGGATCGATGCGTTTGCAACCGGCCAGTTGCAGTGTGAATAACAACGCCCTGGAGCCCTACGGATCCTACCGGGTGGTGCAGTTCCGTTGCCGGGATGCGAGCCACCAGTTGTCCCTGCAGGACAGCATTCGCACCACCACCACCACCACCACGATAAACAGCAACAGCTTGGCAGCCGGAAACGGAAATGGCGTGGGCGTGGTAATTGGTAATACACGAAGGATGCGAAAACAGGAGTTCTATGGCCCGGTTGTGCCGGGCACCGCAGTTCCCCATCGAATGCTGCAGGCTCAGGTGTCCCAACTCTCGTCGCTGGGCGATGCCAACTCCCTGTTGGAGGCGGAAGTGGTGGACAGGCACTACGCCTCCGGTCGGGCCAAAAGGGCTCTGTTGGCCACCAAAAGTGGTGCTCTGCTGGTGACACCCAACCAAAGTGCTGCTGATCCCTCGGAAGTCAGTCAGCCTGCCACTCGGCTCAAGCTGACGAGGGTGATAAGCCGCAGGGATGAGGTGACCAGCCACAGTTTGCCGGATCCGGAGACATGTCAAACGGCATCGATTGCAGGTCGAAGTTCCCGAAAATTCCCCTGGCGCAAGCGGAGGCAAAAAACCGAGGATCCCAGCAGCGAGGGCGGCTTGACCTTTGGCTCACCCAAATCCCAGTGATTCCGGCTGGCTGATAACTAGAGTTATGCTTAGTTAGGCATTGTTTAGTTAGCGCAATAAACTTTTCGATCTGTAAATAAGCCAGAGAAAGTCCAGCGATTTGCATGCAAATTTCGGTTGGCCATAAAAAAAAAAATAGAACGAATGGGCAAGGTCCAGACGATTTATGTGAAGCATAAAGCCGGGATAATGAGGCAACAAAGCGTCGTGACGAAAAATGCCACGCCCCATGCCCCATGCCCCGCATCTTTTTGCGATGGCAACCGCATCGCACTCATAAATTAAGTGTTAAGTGTTGAGCTACCAGCAAAATAATGTGAATAAATAAAGAATGTGTTGCCAACATTACAGCGAAATCCTTTTAACTGTTTGCTTCTCTATAAGCACAATGCATGCCAGTAACATTCACCCTCATCTGCATTCCAAAGGGGTGGGGTCAGGGTTCAAAGGGGAAATTGGAAAAAACAGGTAACATCTCGGCTTTTTCTCGTTCAGTGTTTCCTAGAAATCTGTTCGTGCTCTTTGTGACATTTTTTCCTTACAGATTGGCAGGCTTTCTACTGCTTCTCCACTGAAAAAAAAGAATAAACCAAAAATGAGAAATTAATCTGAGCAACTTTTTGGAACAAAATCATATAAACATCATTCGCGAGGATTTTACTGAAGAATTCGCGATTGAATTTTTATTTATTTATTTATTTAAGGAGTAAAATATAAGAACGGCGAATTCTTCAGAAAAGCATGCTCCAACATGACAAAAAAGGCAATTTTAATAACTTTTCTCCTTTTAATGACTGTTCCTCAGAGGTAGAAATAAATATATCTTTTTTGATAGGAAGACCTTTTTTTTGAAAAGTAAACTTTTTTGCTAAGTGTAAATCAAGTCCCCTTGTTGCAACAAAAGCGTTTCAGTTTGCACCTGGCCAAGTGTCGGAAGAGGTCCATTAGTCAAGGTGGCTTTGTAGGCTAGGAAGTCCGGATTGAAACGAATGTGCAAGGAGTGGCAAGTGGCAAGAATGGGTTTATCCTGAGGCGAATTGGCACTTGGAGTGAGTGGAGAGTGTGGGATACGTACCACAAAATAAATCAACTTAAAACTTGGACAACAAATTTAAGAGCTGATATTGTGGCCAAACGGAATTGTTAATGGCTCTCTGAAAGCAGGCAAATAAATTCACAAGGAAGCCAAAAGTCAAGTGGCAGGCTCTGAAAAATTCAAAGCCAAATTGTCGCCTCTTCACCTGCCTAATGAGATGTGTGAGGCATTGTTGGGCTAAGGGATTGGAGTTGTCGTTTGGTTTCGGCTCATATATCAAATGGATATTTACCCATTGAATACCGCTTAGCCAGGGCCCATGTAATTCCATACCGCCCGTTGGCAGGAAACCGTAACAATGGGCTTGCCTTTGGGTTCCTGCCTCTATGAACCGCCCTCCGTCATTGATCATCGGAGATGGGGACTCTTTTGTGGGGAGCTCTTAGTGGCGGATGCTGGATGCTGGGCGGGTTCTCCATCAATAAATCGTGCGGCCTGCCGCCGCCTAGTCAATCATAATCTGACACAATAAAGATATTAATCAGAGCCATAAATTTACTTACGGTCTAGACAACCAGTTTAACGGCCAACAGCGCGCACAAAGCTCCCTGACGAGGATGAAAATGAAGATGAGGAGTTCTCCGGATCTTTCCCCTTTCCCCAACCATTCTAGAACTTTAATAAGTCCTGCAGAGCAGCTCGCATATTGTCCCGGTCATTACGCGCAGACATTTCAGATTACTCTGCCAGTTTATGAGCGTCAAACTTTCACTTTTCAAAGCGTCAAATTCATTTTTCGTTCTCTCCCCCATTAGAGGGAATACAAGAGCTCTTGGACCCTGAGTGGCCATATCCACATCCATGTCCATGTCCTTGTCCATGTCCATGTTCAGATTTTAAAGCCCACACATGCATGCTGTCCGGTCATTCTGTGCGGGTCCTTGTCTGCACCTAACGAGCCAGCAAAGAGCTGGACAAAAGCCGAGCCGAGTCACTGTGAACCCATCACCGGGTTCACCCAGGATCACAAGCAGGCAGGCACGGAGAAAAAAGTAGTCTAGGATATATTCGAAAAATGTGTGAACATAAATTAAAAAAATAAAAGGGGAAAACAATGAAGAAAATGTCGGAAATTAAGTATTCTACTAGTTGTACAAAGTCAGAAACCAAAGTTTAAATATAAATAATGGTAGGTAGCTATTTTAATTTGTACTTTAAAAAAACACAATTAATACGTTTAAATGATTAGAAGAATTAAATTTAAAGTAACCTTAATTATGAAAAATGTCAATTGTATTTAACGTAAGCCATATTACATTTTAAATATAGAAGTTCATATCAATTGGAAAATGGTAGAGGGCCATAAGTTACTTAGGAATATATAACTTATATTATATTGAAAATTGCTGTTGTGTAGAGTGCACTAGTTGACATGGAATCCCTCGTAGCTCCAGGAATTAAGAAAAATAAATTAGATTAAAAAGATGTTCATATGTATCATTTTAAATATGTATTTATATTTTCACCCAATTTCTAAAATTCTTTTCCCTCAGTGCTTAGAAAAAATTAACCTCTATGGTTAAAAATCCTATTTATAAAGTTACACATGCCAACAAATTAGAATGTTCAGCTGCCGTTCAATTAAAAATTTGCACAAAAATGCGGTCGGATGGGCTGAACAACTATTGTTGAAAACAGCTCGAGTATCCTTGCTATGGGCTTCAATTAAAGTTGTGTAAACACGCTTCAAAGGACACTCTTCATGGGCGACTTATGTGTTTATTTACTGTGCCCTGGCCTGGCCTGGCCCCACAAAATCCGGGGCGAACTGTTTCGATGAACCCAATTGATTCTTTTGTTGCCACTGCCATGGGGGTCAACTCTTGCCCTCCGCCGATGGATGGCAAATAAATATTATTTTCTGTGTGCTCTGTGTGCTGCGGCTCAGTTGGATTGTCGTGGTGCATAACCGATTTACACTTTAAATGCTGTGCCATGTCAGAGCTGAAATTTTAATTAAATACGAGTCGTGGTTATCCTCGATGTGCAGAGTGCCTATATAGTAATATTCTCAGCATCTGTCCCTCGCCGCAGAACAATGCAGCAAATTGAAATTATAACAAGAGGGCCAAAAAGCGATGGCAGTTTAAAATTCAAGCGCAGTCAACAGCTGGCACTGGCAGTTTTTGACAACGAATTAGAAGCCCCGACCTCGGCGCACAGTTCAACAAACTAAAAGTGTTTGCTTTATGGCCTCCCTGTACTCGATGTACTTGAAGCCCCATCATCCCAGCCAACCCCCAATTTCTTTCGCCGAGACAAACAAAACAACATTCGCAATCCCCCAAAAGCAGACAACTCAAGATTAGCTGCGCCACAAGTCGAGAGCCAAAAATAACTCGAAATATTTCGCTCAATTGCAGTGGCCAAAACAATAAACCGAGCAGCCTTGACCATGGAGCTTTGGGCATGAACATGAACCCATCCGAATCCCAGACTATGGATCTCTTCTGGATTCGACGCCCTTCCTTGGAGAATTGCACTGGAAAAAAGTGGGGAACTTTTAACTTGTAGCTGAAAAAAACCTTCATAACAAAAGAAAAGTAAAGACTTATTTATGCCCGAATTATCATAAAATACTAAACGAACATTAGGACATATGATAATAAAAATGTCTTATAGCTCAGAAATACTCAGACTATTTTCAAGACTTTTCTTGCAAAGATAAAATTAATATATTATGTATGAACGGATATAATATAATAAAACATTAAATACCTAAACCATTTATGAGTTTTAAGAATTTTAAAAAGGTTTGATAAAGAATAGGCATCGGATTATAAATATATAAAATAGTACTCTTAATATTCAAATTAAAATATAAAATCAAAACATGTTTAAGCTTAAACTAAATTATGAACTTAGGAGACACATTTATGTTTTATCCAAGCTCGCATCGAATCAAATGTTGAGAACACATTTTTAATATTATACGATGATTATAAATTTACCATCTCCTAAATATCTTTTTCAACTAGAACATTTTTCTTAGTGTCTTTATATTTTGTTTTCGTTTGCCAGTGGGTTCCACGCCAAATACGAGTACCCGGGGTAATTGTCCTTAAAGCGGCACTAAGAGCCACAGGATTTACTTGAAACTTTCGCCGAAACGAAATCAGAATTTAATCGCCATACTGGTGGATGTGTGTGTGTCTCCCGGCATCTTGTTTGCATTTTGAGACGTGTCTGAGATAATTTGTTTGGGATTTAACGCCATCGGTGCTCCCGAGTTTCTGAACGGCTTCCTTGGCAGCTGTTTTTCCTGTTGTCGACGTCAGTGGAGCTGAAACTACGATGGCATCGAGTTGGTCAATTGAAATTAAGCCAATTTACATAGATCCCATTAATTGAGGCCACTCGTGCAGGGGAGCACCAGTGCCATTGACAAGTTTTCTACAGTTTCAACTGCTCGCTCCGATCCAAAGTAAAGTTTATTAATTAGCATTGGCTTGGGAACGGAACAATAGGTCCCTGGACGCTAAATAAAAAAACATTTTACTTGTCTGACAGCCTCTTGTTTATTTGCCATTGTCGCTCATCCGACAATTTTAGTCATTAATGACTGCATATTCCATGGACTTCCTCGCATTACTTTTTTTTACTACGTAATCGAACTTAATTCGATCTAAAAACAGACTAATTAAAATTTCAATTCAAATAATTGAATTAGTTATTTATTATTTCAATTATCTCTGCTGACCAATATTAAACTTGTCAGTTGTGTTTATGTAGCTTTTGAGTAAAGAAAAAAGCTATAAATTCCATTGAAAAATGTGTAATTAGCAAATCATGTGTTTTTGGTGCATGATAACTAACATTTTCACGCATCAAATATTTCAATTAATCAAGAGATAATATAAATGTAATTATTTAACTGCTGCCAAAAATCGAATTTGAAATTTAATTCTCATTGTAACCAATTCAAGCGAAATAACAAGCTTTTAACTTAATTAAATACAATTTAAAGAGAAAACACCTAAACTAAGTACAATCTACCTAATGGCTTGCCAAAACTTTCAAGTTAAGGCCTGGTAATTGTTTTGAAGCTGTCGCTTACACAAAATATTGTATACAAATTCCCAGAAGCAAGTTGAGCTTACCATTAAATTGAATTCAAAAGTCAAAAGCAAAGCTGTTTTGAATGACAAACAACCATGAACATTTTCCTGTCCACCAACACACAATAGTCGTACCAGTAAATAAGCAC